TTTCACATTAAACTCATCAAAAATCAGTGAAAATAAATTCCATACAAAACACCCAATAAGCCTTTTCAGCGAAAATTAATTCCAGCGAAAATAAAGTATTCTACAGTATTATATGCACAGTACCTGATGGTTGTTGCATGCACCAATGAATTAGGAATGTCGTCCTGACATTCTAGATTTGGGAAAACTACAAATTTTTAAAGAAACTGATTTTAGAAAAAACTAATGCTCCTTCCTGAACTTTTTTTCCGAATTCGAAATTCTGAGCCTAATCATTTCTTGGTACTAAATTAAAGCGTAACTATTGCAACCTTGCCCATTGAGAATCTAGATAATAAATATTAAATAAGTAAGAATTATTAAACATCTGTCACTGCATAGCCAGGTTACCATGTGCCACAATTTTGGCATGATTGCACAGGGTATTTGATTCCTATCATATTAGGAAATGTACATTCGAAATATGGAATGATTACATGGTATTTCCAAAATGGCAGGCACTTTTGAAAACAAAGTTTACAGCAATAATGTTCAAACAAATTGTCATTATTAAACTCAGCTCTGGACTCTCTATAAGAAGCGAATGGTTTGCAAAGACATATAAGACAGTATGTACAAGACTCAGAAAGTATGCGGGCGCATCGACCACCGTCACACGTCGGTTAATACTCTCACTGTACTATCTCGTGTATGAAGATGTTTGGTAACAAATTATTCTCAATCAAAAAACTGTGTATATTAGCATATACTTTAATACATATATTTTTGTTCGCTGAATAAGCAGTGCCTGTGGTTATGTTCACACTATAAATTTACCTTGTTTCTAGCCAAAGCAATTTTGTTTTTTCAAGAGCATAGATCGTCTTGCTCCAAAACATAATGTCTACATGTCACACCAAAATTCATTGTATCAAATGAATTTCACAAAAAATATTCTTGACACTACATTAGTTCTGAATACTATGTTACCGCCCATATAAAATCTATGACATTTATTTACACAGAATGGTCGAAAATCAACACTACTGTAACAGTAAAATTTAACTCTCAGGTGGTCAAGTCAATGTAAAAACACATGTGGCTTACAAGATTATTATGATATTATGATGATGATATAACAGTTTCCATGGTTACTCCCCATTTTTTACAAAAACCATTGTTGCTCAGAACAAAGATCTTGCATTTTCCTCCAATTTCCTCTAGTGGTGTATGTGTCACTTGAAGAATGCACTTGATGTCAGTCAACTGTATTTTAATGCACACATGCTTGTTGAAATAATGTGAACCTAAACAGTCATTAATATTCTCTTCCAGATGTATTCACTAACTCCCATGTGTTAATCTCTGCATCTTATTTCATGCTATTCATCAGTGAAAGCCTGCTTTCATGCCTGTTTAGCAATTCCATACCCCTCACACACACAAGTAAACTTTAATTTATTTTTTTTCAATAATTTGTCAGTACATTAGGCAATATTATAAGACTAAAAAAAAAAAACCAGAGTATGAATAAGATATGAAAAATGTTATCTTTTAGGTTATTTTAACATTCCATATTCTGAGGGACATCCTTGTCCGAACTTCACATTTGTAGCATTCTATTTAAAAGCAAATTGACATCACACTGTACAAATTCCCTACAAACTGCATGGACAATTGGAAAGTATGAAAGCAGTTGGTGAAACAGAAACAGAAACTTTACTTTTAATACTCTATATACTACATGAACAATGTTAGCATAAACACAAACAATTGGGGGAAAAAATTTAAACAACAACATATTTGTTAACAAGTTGGGTTTGTATATTAGTTAATTATTTTTTCCCAATGACACCTCTTCCACAATCAGGCATTTAAGGCAGATACTGTAAAAGGGTTAATTATTCACTGGGTTTTAATTTTGCTTATTTTGCTGACTGGAAAATGCGCTAAATTAAAACCCAATGAATATGTAAAATTGAACATAGAACACATTATTCTAAATGATAATACTTTGAATTTTAAACCTACAGAATATGCCTGAAATGGTAAATCAGCGAAATTTAAACCCAGTGAATATTAGTCATTTTACAGTATGACGATAAAGACGTCACCAGCCGATATAAATATTATAAAACTTTGTCAGCGTGCACTGCGTTAAAAAAGAAATACCACAAATTGCAAGCTATAATGTTCTGTATAATGTCATGTTCTGGACATCAAAGGAAATAATTTTGTGAGTAGAATATAATTTAATAATAATTATAATAAATAAAACATAAATAAACTTGTTTGCATTAAATAAAAGTTTCACTAAAAATATAGTTAGTTAGGGTTAGTTGCCCTACCTACATGGACAGTTTATTCAAATGCAGTATGTCAAGACATTTACATATAATCCCATAATCTATTCTCTCTTAGTTGACATCAGAGAAGGCGAGTGATTACTGTCAGAATTGTGTACCGAACAGAGCCGCAGGCGAGGATTAGTGCTACTTCGGTGGTAATCACAAGAAGAGAAAATATGAGAATACTAGAGAATACATTTATCACATGCATATTTCCACAGAGTGATGAAGCTGGGACTATTATTGAAATGACACCAAATAATGTATTTGTGTGCCTCATATGCTAATTTTGTACCTGTTCATGCCACGGTTTTCTATTTTATGCATAAGCTGTCTGCTCATTTATGACACATGTTCTAATTCGTTGGGATTTTTTTTTAACTGAATAATACTGAATTTAACTGAAAGGGACTGAAAAATAATTTCAAAACATAAACAAAAATTTGCCAAAATTAACCATTTTTATCAGACACTATATAACCTTCAGGTAGCATGTGCAATAAATAAAAAAAAGTTTGGCAGTATGTGATGCCAAACTATGTGATGTACATTTTCGATCTGTCCTGTATTATGTCACACTGCGGAAATATGGACATTACGCATGAGATAATTTCTAATATATCATATTGCTTTTATGCTGCATGATTAAATTATTACTTATAGTTTAATCATAGACTATCACATAAATAATCAAACATCAGGTATTTTATATTTGATTATTAGTGCAAACAAAACACAAATAACAAGATCTGACTTTGCCCCCAACTGACTGGTCATAGGCAGCTAGCTAGATAATGATTTTTTTAATAATAAACATGACCTTGACCCAGTTATATTACCACCTTAATGGAGACTTAGTTAGATTTCAACAACTGCAGTGTGATGAGTTCAACCAAGCCGCAACACTCATTTTTTTTAGTATAACCTTCAATGATCCATACGTCCCACAGGAATGAAACCTAATTACACATGATGGTGACGTCTACTGATTTCAATACTACACTTAGACTACTGATGTCAAAGTGTACGTGTATCACTTTTAATCAATTAAACACCTTCATCACGAGTTGTAACTGCGATAAAAGATGAAACTCTGCGATAAAAACCTTAATGCGAGTTCTCTCGCGGATGAGGTGTGCCTGCATGCATCTCAGGATGTTGATGTGTGCTGTGTTCTCACTCTAGATGCTCCATGTCAACATGTAATCTCATGAGTTGAATGTGTGCGCCTAAATCTAAGTCACAATCTATTTGGTGGAGAATTCTGCTTGATCATTATATGCAAGTGATCATGAATCATAGCAGCAGAGTTGATGTTATCCCAAGTCTTCAGATTAAAAGCTCAATCACCTCAATCACTGAGGCAGAAACGTACATGTATACATGTATGTTCCCAATAATCAGTTTCCCTTTAGTACAAAATCCAAGGATGGAATAGTGACCATTGGGTGTTTCAGTGGCAATATTTTTGTACAAGCATGCCTAATACCCGATTGACACGACACGTATGATAACCAGCCATTTATCAACATAGGAAGGGGTTATCTTTTTAAGAGTCTAAAAGCTTGAGTTTTGAATTTAGCAAAAATATAGACCTTATCTTCTACTAATAGCTAATTATACCATAAAGTATGATTTTGTAAGAGGCACATTCACGAGTCAGGAGACAATTATAACAGTGAATATTTCACCAGGGTCTTTATGACAAGTAGTAAACAACAAGTTTTGTGAAATTTTATTCTAACACCACAAACAATATACATCCGATACACATTTGGCGATGAGCTATTTTCATACATCACACAAATATTAATTTTCAGATTTTTTTTGATATACATAATTACTGGGACTTATTTTTCATTTTAATTACTATTATCTTCTTCAGTCATTCTGCTAGACTATTTCACTATCCACTATTTCAAGTATCTAACATGCTTTCTTTTTCAGAATGTATAATTCATAGGAGGGGCCGTTGTACAAATATAAGCATTATACATGTACAGGGAAGGTATGATACGCATGGCTATGCTAGACAGTACTCTGAATGAACACAGATTATTTTATAAGAGGGGCTGCTATAGACAGCAGAGATTTTTTTAAACAAGGGAACAGGGGCGCAGCGCCCTCATGCTATGGTCATGCGCCCCCTTACCCTGGGGAGCAGATCCTCTGGAAACCATAAAATTCTGATTGACCAAGGATCACATGAGGCCACATTCTTCAGCTGTGACCTGTCTGATAGTAATTTTGGCCCCAAGGAAGTCATAGAATGCTCCATTTTAACTCAGTATTATCACAAACTCGACACCCTGGTAGAGAGAACCCCATCTCCCCCACTTTGTGGCGCCACTGAATTGCAGTGCTCCATCTTGGAGTTTTTTTTTATAGAAAAACCGCTGGACAGTACCCTGAATGAACACAAATGTACTTGTATTTATATGAGCTTGAATTTCAGAGTAAACTCCCTTCTGAGTAGCACATAGAACACATCTGATTAACACACCACTGAACAGTCTCAGCACCTACCCACCCATGAACACACACACAATACACACCGTTGAATAGTCTCAGCAATCACCCATCAACACACGGACAATCAGACACTGATGAACAGTCTCAGCATCCATGAACACACAGAGTCAGACACATCACAGTCTACCTGTTGTTTCTTACCTTCGAAATGAGTTCATCATGATTTGCAAGATGCGCTCTGCAATGCACACAACTGTATTTGCGATGGCACTCCGGTAGATAGGCTTGAAATGTCTTCACCATTTTGACACTTCGTTCCGGCTGATGATCACCTCAGACGCGTTTGGAACATTAAATTGATAAAAATGTTGAAGCGAGCGGGAAAACGTCTCTTATAGTTTTATCAGGTCACTACAACCAGGTCTGATATGTGATATTTGATCAGCCGATGTCTTCTCCCAGCATGTGAGATGACAATGTATTTAGGACAGAGGCAGTTGCTATAACAACAGTCACGAATGTATCACCAATGACGTTAACAGTTCACTAATAGTGATCTGCAAATAAAACACAAAACATTGTCAGGTTCAGCTTTTCCTACACAAAACGATGAGAGACAATTTATCAGTCAGGGAAAAATCAACATTTTTTGCAGAAATTAAAAATTTTCACTTTCAATGTTTCATCTCAATTTGCAAACATTTAATTTTTTGGCAAAATTAGAATATACTCCTGGTAGTATGCAAAAAAGGTCACCATGCTTGTTTACTGTATATGCCTCTGATGATCAATACTGGTGCATATTAAATTACTATTTTTAATAAATTCAAAAAAAAAAATTATTCGTAATACGAGAAATTATGTACATGATAACTGAGCTCCCCTGTTACATGTATAATTGCTTAGAGACTCCCAATTCAAGCACTCTTAGACTTTGATGATAAAATTTCTCATGCATGCATCTGTACTAAAATTTATAATTCGTGTACACTGAATATCATACAGGTCAGTAACTGATCACAATACGAGTCAAGCTTATGGTATCACAGAGAAATATTGATTTCCATAGTATAACCAAATATATTCAAAGGGCACATGCACTTCGTAAATAAATATTATCTTACATCACTGTATCCAATGAAACATGTAATGGTATCCAGATAATTATTGTATTTTCAATAAGTATATGACCAACTATATTCTAGGTGTACAAGCACTTCTCAATAATCGGTATGTGTAATCTCTAAATCACTCATTCACTATATCCATGGAAACAATCAATGGCATCCAGACACTTTTTTAGCGTTTAAGTATTGCTCACTGATCAGGAAAATATTAAATTCTGAAGCTGTGATTTTATCGCATTTCCACCGTATATTTCACAGTAAGATTAAGTTGAAACTTTTCCCAGAATATTGGTATGCCAAGCATTACACAACTCAATGAATAATTTAATCACCTTGTAGAAATCAGATATGACTGTCAAAATACACCCAGATTAAAAATGATGACATGGTTCATATACAAACTTATCAGTAGAAATGCAATGACTGGAAAAAACACAGCAATTCACTTGGCTCTGATCCTAAAAATGTGTTTTTATTCTACACAAGTCCATTTAGTTCAATTCAGACAAAACTAAATTAGGATAAAGTCTTGAGGGAATATATCGTTAATTGTATCTTTCTGTCATATGAAGGCAGCTTTAATTGTATTCATGTACACATGTAGGCAGCCATGAAAGTCTTTCCAGAGGGATTTAGTTTACTAACAAAATAATGTATCTAGATACATGGTAATTATATTAAAGAATCATAATGTAAGTCATCAACATGTATATTCAGGGGGACGTGATGTAAATGGGAAGTTGACATTAGCAAAAATTTAACTATATATTGTGTTACATACATGTACCTTACAAAGTAGCTTTGTCAGTTGTGGCGACAGTATCGGTTGCACATCATTATATACCGTACTCAACCACGTTAGCACCTAACTTAGAAAATCATGATTTTTTTGGGGTTTGGGCGCTTACTGGAGCACCCCTACCGGGAAAGAGCAAATGATAATTTGCAATTAAAGGAATATTATGACTTTGGGGGGAAATAAAATTCAGAAATTAGTTGCGTTGTCATTAACTTTTACAATGAAGAAACAGAAATGGTCACAAAAATTATGCATATTTTATTACCTTTTGTACCTTACATGACACAATTTACCGGAATAATTTTTCCATGTTTGTTTTTTTTCCAAGAATTTTGATCACGATCTGTCGCTAATGGAAAATTATGTAAACTTGGTATAAACTAAAGAAAGTATGGAAATTTCAAAAAATTTGTTTGCGTAATACTCCGATCATCAAAACACTAAAGGCACATAATCACCATCTTTGCCAGCCAAGGTTCATTAAATCAGTCATAGCCTCATCATTATACCATGGCAGAATTTGCACTGTAAACCGATATTTACTGTCAAGAAAATCAAACAACGGACATTGCCCTGATGCGTTTCCATAGTAAATGGAACACAAAGTCCCATGTTATGATGTGTTTCCATTCTAAATTGAATACAAAATCATTTGTTTTTATCTGTTAAGCAACAACTCGATATAGGACAACAAAATCTACGAGTGGGGGAGTAGTCGCCTGCGCATGCTTCATATGACCATAGCGTGTCATTGTTTACAAACAAGTGTCTACCCCTGAGACTTTGTGTTTTTAGCGTGTGTTGTTATCGTCGCTTGGGACTCAATTCCTGCGCGTGCGTAGGTGACGACCCTCCTGCTTTAACCTTTTCACCACCAGATTTCCCTGTACTTTTTTCTTAAATTCTTAAATATTTCTAGAAGTGAACCCTAAAATTGAGCCAACAGACAAAACTTGAGTAATCAAAATATTTTGTTATTTTCGTCCCAATCTTCTGAAATTACAGATTATAAACGAGAATATTTTGAGAATGGCGATAAAAAGGTTAAGGGCACACTAAACTGAATCATTCATTTTAACTAAAGTCAAATACAGCTTTTCCGAACACAATCACACTCGAGTTGGTGTGGGCAGCCATGAATAATTGACTTCAGCAAAACTGAGCGAATGAATCAGACAGTGCAAAACCACAGCTATATTTCAAACTTACGTTCAGTTCCAGCGTTAGCAAAGAAAACATAATTAAAAATCTAAAGGCATTGAGAATTGAAACCTGGAGTTAATAATCCTAGTAGTGAGTTAATTCACCAGAAACAGAGCGTATCGCCCTAATCCTTCTTAAAGTGGAAACCCATGTAACAGGATCAATACATGTTTAAGGAATGATATGTGTTTATCAATCATACTGTCATTGTCACCATCTCCACAACATGTGTGTGCCATGCAAAACACATAAATAAAGCTAGCTTATTTTTGTAGGCACGAGAAGGATACTAAGATGTCATATGTACCAACATATGTATATGTATTATATAAAGATATGTAATCATACTGTCATTGTCAATCATTGTCCCCATAACATGTATACTTATGCACAACACACGTGAATAAGAAGAGAACATTCAGAACTAGCTAGGTGTTTGGTTTATAAATGTACATGTAGATGACTCCTACAGGCAAGTATATATGGATCAGGGTAAAATGGTGTTTTGTTGATAGATATCTTTAATACAAGCTAGTCTATGCAGCAAGGATTGGACATGGTGTTTTACAAACTGAGGTGTTTAGTTAATAGGGTTTACCAAGCATGTCTGCAATAATGACTGGAAATGGAAGTTGGCTTACAGAGGTGTTCAGTTTACAGAGGTCTTTTATACAAGCAATGTAGCTAGTCTATGCAGCAAGGATTGGACATGGTGTTTTACAAACTGAGGTGTTCAGTTTTATAAGTCTTACCAAGCATGTCTGCAGGAAAGATGGGAAATGGGAGTTGACTAAAAGAGAAGTTGAGTTTATACATGTAGATCAATTAGGTCACTTATATCGGTACATATATTTGTGATAGACCACAGAGACTGGTATAGAGTTTTCAGTTAATATATTTTTTAGACTTTTCATAAGGTATGCACTTGACAGCCGAGATTTTACAGTAGTACAGTGTAAGTGTTTTAAACTCTCCATACTATGCTGTCAAATGGACAAATTTGAGACAGAATTACATGTGATATTGCCCATGCTGCTTGATTTTGTAATCACCTTTAACATTTCCAAAGAATGATTAGGTACATCAGCAGACAGTTCTCAGATCAAATTGCCATTACTCAATTCAAAAGGATTCATCACAAAACATCGTGCACAATATCCACTATACTCAGACCATTATCAAACCATTTACTTATTTTATTTTCTGAATGTCATCCACTGCCTAGGAGGGAATTTCTGCTCCCCCACGGTGAAGAATTTGATAAGAAATCCATAATTTGTGAAGGTATGATAATAACAAGTTATCAGCTGTACTGATTCTCATAGTTAGTTTGGAAGTTAATAAAGATCAGTAGACAATGCATGCATATTGTATTTGAAAAATACTTGGATGATATAAAAAACAAAAAACACAGAGTAGCATTAACCAAATTTCGTATTTCAGCCCACTTCTTGCCAATTGAAATAGGTCGTCACAGGGGAATAAATAAAATTGACAGGGTATGTAACAAATGTGACTCTAAGGATGTGGGTGATGAAAAACATTACTTTTTCATTGTGACAGTTTTTCTGAACACAGAAAAAAATTCCTCTATACATTGTTCAAATACTCACCTGACTATCAAACATTACCAAATGGAGAATTGTTTATTAATGTTTTCTCTAGTGTAGACAAATATATTTGTAGTATTTTAGCTAATTTTGTTTTTCAGATTTTAAAATTATTTTAGATTAGTTGTGATACTGTATATTTCTTACGTTGGACTTTACTCAAGCATTGTTTTTGTGTACGTTCCAAATAAAATATCCTATCCTATCCTATCCTATCCTTGTGTATTTGTCAGTAAATGTATGTAGTCAGAACATATTCAAATACAGCCTTATTTTTCAACAAAGAAAAAAATGTAGAAGCTCACATAAACCAAAAATTACATGCATTCATTATGTCTTATTTTGACCACAGTGCATGCTGAATCTTAAAACACAACCACAGACATGTCTGTTATTTATGGAATTCTATGCATTAATATCAGAGGAAATACAATAGTTTTACAAATTATAATTTGTTATCGTTATACACAAAGTATAATGTTTTGTCAGTACTAAATATTTATGTTTTGTCTACAGTACCATGGTGACATAATAATACTGTAGTTATTATTATTAGCATTGAAGACAATTATCACCTAATTAAAATACAAATACTTTAAAACCTTGATGTAAACAGTTGAACTTTCGCTACTTGAAATGTTTGCAATATTACATAATTAGGTTGTCAATGCAATTAGCAAATTTTAACTTTAATATTTTCCATGAATTAAAATTTACTGTGAAACCATCAATTTGCTGCATAATTATGTACATTCATTTGTTGATGACTAACCATGACTGTCATACTCAAGAAAACATGAAATTTTCTTTCTATACAA